GTAACTTTCTTATAATTTCTGGATGAAAGCGTGATAAAGTATTTCCTTAATTGTGTCTGAATGACACTTTTTTAAAAGATTGAAGAATCGGGGAGCGATATAATAATGTTTGCAACAATTCAAAAAAGGCAAATGGCAGGATTGACTTACAATTGTCTTCTTTGTCCGGCTGTAATCAGTGAATTGTTTGGCAATCTTAATCGAAGATATGAAGACCAAGATAGTGTGGCCTTTTGTGTGGTCGCATTCTCCTTTCGTTGTATAGAGGTTTCTTGACCTTTTTTCGTAATTTGGTCATATTGGTAGGAAGACTTAGAGGAACGCATCTAGCCTGGAGTCCATTGTATGCAAACTTGATGACTCTGGAGTTTATCGCATAAAATACGGAGACTGTGAGAAAAAATCTATAAGTGAAATTGGAAGAAAGATCAGCCTACAAACCAAAGAACGTAAAAGACTCTGCAGAAAGATGGATACGGAACGACACAAAATAGCCGAACATATTCCACAGACGGGACACGAAATCGACTGGAATTCAACAGAAGAAAGGCTAACTGCATATGCTGAAAATACAGGAAAACGCATTATTTTATAGGCCATAGATATAAGTACAGAGAGGTATCTAAAGAATCAGAAATTTGAAGAATGCAGCATTAGAGAAAGCTGTGCATTTTTCATAAGCAAACTCGGAGGCAATCAGGGAACTGCAAGACCAGCAAAAAGGGGATGACTAGGTCAAGGAATTGTTTTAAATTTCAAGAAAATTAGAACTTTTTTTATCTGAATAGTTAATCTTACTCAAATATATGAGTAAGTAGTTTATTATTTACGCATATACTCTGAAGGTTTCTCTAGTATCTATGTCGTTCTAGTGAGAATTTCGGGATATTTCTTAATTTACATTTTAAAATATTGTTTTCCTATTTATATTATCACTTGATTCTTATCATATGTCAATCTAAGACCTGGTTGATTTTTATCAACCGCTAATATTGTATCCAAGGTATGAAGACCAAGGTGGTGTGGCCTTTTGTGTGGTCGCACTCTCCTTTTGTCGTATAGAAGTTGTTTGACCTTGTTTTCGCAACTTTTTCACATTGGTAGGAAGACTTAGAGGAACGTACCTAGTCCGGAGTCCCTCGTATGTATGACCCTGGACATGGTACTCTCCCAGACGTTTTGCCGGCATCGTCAGTGAGTCCCGCCATTCGTACTACCATAGTACAGCTCGTACGTTCCTCTAAGTCTTCTTGCTAATATTTAATGTTGCTTCCTCAACTTCATGTCAATCTATTTACTTATTTTTGTCTCTGCACTTTTCTTATTATAGCTTTACATTAAAACTAAATACAATAGCTAGAAGTCATTACTCTATCATCTTATGATCAAACTCTGAAGTTATGATCTTTTATACATGCTTTCACAATTACGCTTCTTATCCTTATCTTTATTCAACAGTCCCGTGCCCGTCAGCTTTACTCTTCTGGCTATCATACAATAATGGAAATCGCAGCATCACAACCTGATGACTTGATGCGAAACTTGGCACCACACTGTTCTCGAGCATCCGCACGTAGCCTGGTCCAGGCAGCCCAGATGCTGCTAACAGAAAAGGTAGATGCCTTGCATCAGGAAGCTAACCAGCTCCTTCAACTTCCATCTGTACAAACAACGAGCATGCCTCGCACCATTGATTCTGACATTGCTGTAAGCACCAAATCTGAGGCCGAATCCATAAATGGCCTCCAAAACGAGGATCGACAAGAAATTAAGTTTAAAAAAGAAGAAGACAAGACATTAATGGATCGTACCTCTACTCCTCTCCGACTAACTAGGATAGCTGTTCCTTCAAATGCTCCTGCTTTTTTATCCTCTTTTGCTTCCTTTCTCTCTAATTCAACGGCCCCCACTCGTAAAGCCGATGCTTCGTTGGATACGGCTTGTTCTATGCCTCATTTGGTTAGGGATGATTTTCTTAGGTATTCAGCCATCTCATCTAAGCCGGATTTTTCGGAAGAGTTGGAAGATCTGTTTGCCTAAACATTTGTGTGATGATTCATCATTTAGGGGATCTGTTCTGTTTGCAGTTTATATAGGCTGTTATTCGAATTTTTCCTAGTATTTAAGACCTCATAAGAGCTTGATCCAACCTTGTATAATATCTTAAACTTACCTTTATTCATATTATCATCTGGATAATCTGAGCCCTTTATTTTTTCCTTTGAATGCATTACTTAATACGTTTCACTGTGTTTCTTGTCAGTTCATTTGCTTTAAAGGCTGACTATCGTATTGTACAATAAAGTTATCTTTACTTAGAAATTAATGTATTTTGTATGTTTATCCTCTTATTCTCTTTTATGTTAATTATGATGCAGAAAACTGACACCTATCTCCCTTATTCACTTTTCCACTGGTCTTTCATCTCAAATTAACTTTG